CTTCTTTCTGGGACCCCCCCAACTCCTTTCACAGGTGTTAGGTATGCTTTGTAATCTGAAGTGTTTCTTACCTACTCTGGGCTTCCTGCACCTATTATTATTGTTATTATTATTATCGTTATGGTGTGTGTGTTTCAGTAAAACTTTACTAATGGACTACTGCAATTTGAATTTTATATAATTTTCAATTGCAACAAAATATAGTTCTTATTTTCTTACAAAATGTATCTATTTTAGAACATATTTACAGAAAAATTATGTAGACACTACAGTTTCCATATAACTCATATCCACTTTCCCCTATTATCAACATCTACAGCTTGACATTTTCCATAGTTAATGAACCAATATGATATTATTAAATAAATCCTACACTTAATTCATTGTTTTTACTTAATATTCTTTTTCCGTTCCAGGATTCTATTCAGGATCCATAAGCTCATTAGTTGAGTTTCTACACATAGATTCCTGTTTGTGATATTCTCTCAGACTTTCTTTGTTTTTTATGTTCTTGACAGCTTTGAGTACTGGTTAGTATTTTATGAAATCCTCTAGAAACTTGTTTGATGATTTTCTCCTGGTTAGGCTGGGATTATATGTTCTTGTGAAGAAGATCACAGAGGCAAAGTGCTATTTTTTTATCGCACCAAATCAATAATATATTTTATTAGCCTGACATACCACTGTTGCTATTGACATTTATCACTTGGCTGATGCAGTGTTTGTCAGTTTTCTCCACTGTAAAGTTATTCTCTCCCTTTTCTCATACTGTGTTCTTTGATGCCTCAGTTTTTATTGGCCAGTAAATCTCTTTCATTTATAACTTAGCCTTGACATTGCCTTCAGGAGATTGAACCAGCAGTTAGTTTTAATTGTGGTAAAGAAAGTAAGAAGTGGGGCCAGGCATGGTGGGGGCATACTTGTAATCCCAGCACTCAGGAGGCTGAGGCAGGAGGATCACTTTTAGTTTCAAGCTAGCCTGGGCTACATAGTGAGACCCTGTCTCAAAAAAAAAAAAAGTAAGAAGAAATCACAATTGCTTTCTTAAGTTACTGGATGGAGCCAGTTTTTGACCATAAATCCACTGACCAAGGAGGATTCTGAGTTCCCAGGAGAAAGCAACTAGGATATCCTTACAAGTATGTACTTTAAAGATTTGCTTAGTCCTTTCCCAAAGGGATCTACGATGTTTATTTAAATGAATATATACTTAAAAAGAGGAATGTCCACATAGTTTGAAGACTACTGAACACAGGTTGTGAATTGACACTGATATGCACAAAACCAAAACATCATGATGGGCCACTGTTAGAGGCAGCCACATGGAGTTATGTAAAAGGATATTAGCCAAAGACTAGCTTACATTTAATCTACCTGGTCGACTGACACACTGCACGGTCATTTCTCTGGCCCCGAACATACAGTTGTTAGTAAGATAATTGTAGAGTAACTTCCATATTGGGTCCTTGGCTGCTATGGAGGAAGATGAAGTGGAAACCTCTCATACTACTGACTTAAAAATAGAAAATCAAAACCAATATTTTACCCTGGGGATAGTACAAAGATTAGTTCACTTCAAAAGATCTTAAAAATGAAGGAATGGTAGTTCTTCCATTCATATATATTTTTAATGGACTTCTCTGGTTTCTACAGAAGGCAGATAGATCCTGGAGAATGCTCATGGATTACCGCAAAGTAAAACAAGTAACAAAAAGATAATAGCTTCCATGCTAGATACTGTATTATTATTTGCACAGAGTCATAAGGCTTCAGGTATGCTATATGCAGCTGTTACTTTGGCAAATATATTCTTTTTTAAAAACCCAATTGGTCAAGAGGATTTTTTGCATATGGATGGGAGGGATACACTTTCTCCCTAGAACTATGCTAATCATCTTACCCTTTATTAGAATATATTGAGAAGAGATCTGTACTCTTTGGAATCCTGTACACCTTCACATTGATCTATTACATCAATCACATCATGTGGACCTGTCAAGAAGAACAAGATGTGGCTAATAATGCTGAGCTTTAGTAAGATGTATGTACTCCAAACGTCTTGCAACTTTAGTAAGAATTTTAGGTAGAGATTTAGAAGAAGAAAGATGCTAAATAACTTCCTCAAAAATAAGTGAAAGACAGCTGCATTACTATACCCTACTGCAACAAAAGGGGCACAGCACCTAATTGGATACAAAGGGACCATGTCTCCAGAACCCCCTGTCATGTACTGCGTGTTGGCAGACTCACTAAATCATGAAATTAGCAGGGCCAGCTACAATATATATGTAAAATGTAGAAGGTACATCTGGAATCAAACCCAAGCAGGCCCTGAGGGTATGAATAAACTACATGAGCAGATATTCTAGATTTCCATGTCACCCCAAACAGTTGTCCTGGTGGATGCTCTCTGCTCACCATATACTGAGGGGCTCCTGAGCCATCAGATAAAGGAAAAAAGTTACATCTTGGTTCATCAATTGATTGGCTTGATAGGTAGGTAAAAAGATTAAAAAATGGACACTTATTCTGGATATGTATTTGACTTTCCGTAGATTCTCAGCTCAAACCACAGAGCCTGTGGTTTCTGAGATCCTGATGAATGGGAGTAGAATATCACAAAGGCATAACCCAGTCAGAGGTTGTACTTCATAGTGAAGGAGAGCCCAACTATGGAATCCACTGATGCATTAATACCATGTTGTTGGTCTTACACAGTAATAGAATAATTTCTTAAAGGGAAAGCTAATGCTCCAGTCTATAGGCAATATTCTGCAAGAATATGTTTCTAGTGGGACGCTTGTATGACAACAGGAAACAAGGGGTGGAAGTGAGTGGCCTAATTACCATCACTCCTACTGATCCTCTGGGTGTTTAGTGCAGTGCAGCTCTGTAGTTCTGTTTCCTTAAACTGGTATGATTGCCTGTTGATATAATAAGGGTCTCTTTAAACTGTACACACACACACACACACACACACACACACACACACACACACACACACTGTACTGGTTGTGCTATGTGGGGCAGATGAGCCACCAATGCTGCACTGTTACAATTCATGTGTGACAGGTTAGTATGGTTCTCTATCGATGAGTCTATTGAGTATACTTAATGAGGGGAACATCATAAGTACTCAGATTTTAAATATTTTTAGATATTCTGTTTCATACTGTTCAGAATCACTTTGTCCCTCACTGACGTGGTATTTTCAGTATTTTAGTGGGAATGCAATTTTGACAGTTACTTTTTCCAGACAAACAATGGATGGAAAGGAGAAGGTATCATTCAGTGACTCCCACTTCACCTCAGCAGATAAACAAAGTTTCCCAGCAACATTATGTTGAATGATAAAGAAGAATTTCATGGTTCTGCTGAATGAATGTGGTTTCTACTTCTTTTAGAGTCAACAAACCTTGTCTAGTAAGTTCCCCCCAACTGCTATGTGTTGTTGCTTGTGAACATTTTGCACTTATGCCTGTTTTCCCCCAGTCTCCCTTTGTGTAGTAACTATTACCTCTGTGTAGGAACTTTTACCACTCAGCTCTATAGCTCATTGCTGTGAAAGTTTGAGGTCCCACAGAAAACCCAGCAACCTTCCTCTTTATCTAGTTTTGAGAAATAAAATACTTAACTCTTGACCCTTTAAATGGAAGCCTAATGATAGCATTGGCTCACTAACATTGTATCAGTATTTATTAAAACACATTTTAAAGCATTATCTAAGCCAAGGGCCTGAAAAAAATCACCATGGTGTCAGAGTATCACCTGTGTCCCTTTAATTATCTCAGAATTCTCCCCACAGAGCTTTGTCCATTTTAGATGTGGAGTACTTGTGGTCATTTCCAGTTGCTGTCACTCTGTACAAGTGCTCTACTGACCATGTACATAGACTGATGAGTAGACAAGGCAAAGACATTTGAGATCATTAAATGGTCTTTTCTTGTGTAAAGGACATAAAAGTATTAGGCTACAGACAAATCAGTAATACTGTCCAGAATCCCAGGTTTACAAACATAGTAGTACTAAACCTCACTAGCAGATGTACAGTCGCAAAACTGAAAGTATGATGAAGGACTAGAATCATATCTCTCTTCTAGCCCCAGTCATATCCTGCACACAGTCTAATAAAGAGACTTACTATCGATTATTTCACGAGGGCCAAAGAAATCTCGATAGTCTTAGTGTTTTATTGTGCATAGTGAAATATGCAGTACTTTAAGGCAAGAACCAAATGGTCAGAAATTAAGAGGACACATTGCTCTTTAACTATGTGGTAATATGAAGGATATCCACAAATTAAAGTTTCAGTGCCATTTTTCATGTTATTTCGAATAATGAAAATTTTAATGAAAATAACTATATGTAAGAATGTATTGTCCCTTGAATTAGTTCCAAAAACTCAATTCAACCTAAAGAAAAAGGAAAATTTACTGAATAGTAAATAAATTTATTGAATAATATTCTGGAAAACAAAACAAAACAGTTCCTGTGAATGGTTCTAAAACTAGGCCGTAGGGACAATGACTTTCATTGCTTTTGTCTTTGTATTTATTCTCTCATGTAGTCTGCTAAATAGCCTCAGAGCTTTCTTTGCATAATACGATAGTCACCAAGGAGTACCTGCTTGAACGTTTATCTATATTCCTGAACTAAACACTGTAACTTAGCTCAGCTGTGGACAGTGGAGCATCCCAGAAGTGTAATTACAGAATCACAGTAAAAGAATACTGCACATAGGGCAGCCACGTGAGTATGGAAAAGAGAAGGGAGGAGAATGGCGAAGAGGACAGGAGAACGATGTTCAGAAAAGCGAGTCTTAGGAAAAGTAACGCTACACTCAAAGCATATGTAATTTATACGTCTTCAGGATGGAAATAAGTCTACAGCAAAATGTTCAAATGTGGCACTACTGACAGTGTGAACCAGATAATTCTCTGTTGTAGGGAAATGCCCTGTGCACCGCAGGATGTTTAGCAGCATCGCTGGTCTCTACTTACTAGATAGGAGAAATACCTTCCTGTTCATCACAGTCAAAAATGTTTCCAGCTTTTGCCAGATGACCTGAGGATGGGGGAGAACTGCTGTCAGTTAAGGAACTGACCAATGGCAATCATATTTCATCAAATTGCCTGAAAAATATATTGAAGGTTAGATGTAGAGGATTATAATTGAAATATATACAGATACACAATTATATGTGGGAATTCACATAGTATCATAAAGAATTTAGAGTTGTAAATGTATCAAAGTATTCAGAAATTAATTTGTTGTTAGTCCAAGGTTAAACCATTTCAGAACATCAAGTCAGGTTTCTAATTTTTAAAACGGAGGAAATAATAGCTTCATAGCACAGAGTATTAAGTAATCATGTGAAGTGGTTTGGGATCTATGAAGTGGAACACAACTATACGATAGAAACTCAAATACAAGAGGAAAGTCATTTCTTTTGGGAGGTATAATTATAATCTTGTCTCATTTTAGAGTAGGGTTTTGATACAATATTGATACAACTAAAAATAACAGAGTTAATAAGTAGCGAGCTTAGGTCATTTCATGTGTTTTGCTGTGCTAATGCTTTCATTCATTTCCTAGTATTAACAGTGATAGTTAACTTATTTTATAAAATTATTGCCTTTATTAAACATCCTGAATAACTACAAATAATTTTAAAAATATATTTTATTTTATCATATAAAATTGGAAGCAGCCAAACTGCTCAATCAAAACTCATTAAAATTTTTACATTTATTATTCCTTGGTGACAAAATTATAGCAAGTCTTTCATGAAATACTGAACATAGAGTAGAAATAATAAATTTATTTGCTAACAGGATACATTATCTTCTAAAAGAATATACATTATCTTCTAACAGGATATACTGTTCGAAAACACATATTCCAAAGACAAATAAAACACTATCACATGGAGAGTATCAGCATCACCAAAAACAAGTCTGATGATAATAATAAAAACAAATCAACCAGTATTCATAAAATGCTTGTTCTGAACTTGAAATGACCCTAAGCACCCTATATAGATAATCTTATTTAATAGTTGGGAAACTTATTAACTCATGTAAAAATATATAAAGCACAGAGGTAGAAAAAATTTAGAAGATAGAAATTTTTTCCTTTATTAGGATACCACAGTAAGATAGGATGATCAAATATTTTTTTAGTGTTCCTATTATCATATCTTTATCTTTGTACTAAGAATGTCTTAATATTTTCTATTTAATACATTTTTTGTTTGTTTTTCAAATTTAAACCTGTTGAATAAATGTAAGAAAAAATAAATATTGCAATAGTGGTTTGTATATTTTTTCTTTTTTGTTTTTGCCTCTTGTGTATTATACTTTTGTTTTATGATGATGACACATCTTCTTCTTCTTCCTCCTCTTCCTCTTCCTCCTCCTCTTCTTCTTCCTCTTCCTTTTCACTTTCCTCTCCCTTTTCTTCTTCCTCTTTCTTTTTCTGTTCCCCTTTCATTTCCTTTTCTTTCTTTATTTCCAATTTCTCTTCTTTCTTTTCCTTTTCTTTTTCTGCTTCAGATTCTTCAGGGGTAAATGCTGCCTGTTTTTCCAATAAGACTCTTGGAAAATGAGGCTGTACTATCAAAACAATCATGATACACAGCAGAAAACATATTATTCTCAGTAATAAAACAAACATGCACAGAGGATCGCACACAGTTGGCCGGGGTACTTCCCAACGTGGATACCAGAATTGGTAATCTGTAAATAAAGAAGCAATTGAAAGCTAGATTTCACATAAAAGTAGTTAAATTGTTCAAGAAATAAAGGAAAAGGATACATACATATGGCTTGGTCACGATCTGCATTACCTAGAAAGAAAAAAAGTCTATAAAGAATTACAGAAAATTTCTTATTTCTGTATAATAAAGCATTTCTCCAATATTAGTGTCACCATTCTCCTAGTTTTTAATGCATCATGCTATCATTTTTGATGTCCCTCCTCCAACTAGTAGCCAATCATAAACTGCAATACATCCTTTTTTTAGTAAAAGCTAGCCTGGCATGAAGAAGAGTATGGAAATACAGGAGTGGGGTCATATGGATTCTGGTACCAATTCTGTGTCTACATCATTATGTCAGCTTATGTAAGTTACTTCACCTATGCCTGCTAAAGATTGTTTCAGTTCTAACTACGTAGGAGTTTGCATGTCCGGCTTTCATCTCATTCTCTCCCTAGATTGTTCCAAATTAATCTTACAAATTAACTCATTTTCCTCTTATTTTCAGAGGCTTTCCATTGCTTCTTATTCCTGAGCTTGATCTTCAGTGTTCTTAGCTACCTAGCTCAATGAGATCATACCTTTCAGGAAATAAATTGCCTTTCATTTGCTCATTCTGGGTCAGACAACCATTCCTAAATTCCACTAGTAAAGAGTGGAAGCATAAATCAGTTTGTACAAATAGAAAACCCAGTCTCCACCTGGGCTTTGCGTCAAAATGATATTGCCCAAAAGGGAAAATTTAGAATTTATCCTTCAGGCACTCTGGAAATGAAATGACCTTCCAGTGGATCTTTGAGGTTATTTTAGCATTTTGTGCTTTGTCTTACTTCACATGCTATGTAACAATTTCTATAGCTTCTTGGCCTTTTGGCTAAGATCAAGTATAATAATTTCTATATTTTAGAAGCTTTTTAAAAGGAATTTTTTACGGTGGTTTGACTTTTTCTGTGTATGAATATCTGTTGATTCTTTAGTATAAGCAATAATATTTCCTCTTTGCAACTTCACTTCTCATCATTTTCATTGATTACACACTTTTATTAGTGCATTCATTATTTAAATACACTTAAATTTATCTATATCTCTGTTTCATCAAGCTGTTTTTATCAGCTTTTAGATAGTATCTTTGTCTCTAGTTATAAATGATAAAGAAATAAGTATTTGCATCTCTTCCTCTCAACTTTTATTAATGGTGTATATATATTTTTTTATTTATTTATTTATTTTTTTTTTGTGTGTGTGTGTGTGTGTGTGTGTGTTACTGGGGATCAAACTCAGGATCTTGTGCTCGCAAGGCATGTGGTGGCACCAGTGAGCTAAATCCCTGGCCCTCAGTGCAGTTTTACAATTCATCATTTTAGTAAAGGTGGTCTTCTAAAGTTCATTGAGAAAATGCCTATGAGAAATACATACCACAAATTCTGCATGCACTCAAACAGTTGCCTATTTGCTTATAAGTGACTAATAGGTTTGGCTGGATATAAATTGTTGCTTGACAGTTCTTGTACTAGGATGAATAGGTATCACTCTACTGTTTCTTAGCATTGACTGTTATAAGTGAGAATTTGAAATAAAACTGATTTTTTTTCCCTCTATGTGGGATTGGTACCACACCAGTTTATACTTGATTTTATATTGTAGAACTGAAGACAGAAATGGCAGTTCTGTGAATTTTTCCTTTGTATAGCTTTGGGTTAAGAGTTTGCCAGTGATTAGAACACAAATGAGATTTGGGAGTGGAAACCATAATTCTCCAGAGTGACCGTAAGCAGACAAAGATTTAGGTGAATATAAAACTCACAGTGGCTTTGCTGCCACTTCTCTGCCTTTTGGTGGCAAACTTCCTGACCTTGGTTCCCCAAGTGTTTATAGCATTCATATAAAACTGTATTTCTTATATTACTTTATTGCCAGAACACTCTGAGTGGCAGATTTCCTAATTCAATTGAGACTGTTGAGCTCTCCTAATAACTGGTTTTATATCTTTGCTTACATGCTTAAAGGGTTCCTTCTCTTTTACTGAAGTTCACTAACTTACAAAGCTATGTCTACTATGTGAGCTATTTTTATCACTTTTCCCTAGCATGTAGCATATACTTTCGATGTTTACATTTCATTGTTTACATTATTAGGTTCTATGGTCAGGATTCCAGGTTTAATTTGTGTTTATTGCCTCAGGGTCTCAATGGGCTGAAATCAATGTGTTGACTGAACTGTGGTCTCACCTAAAGGCTTGACTGGAAACGATTCTGTTTCCAATCTTACAGCTGCTGTTGGAACAATCCACTTCTTTGAAGCTATAGGACTAAGAACTTCAATTCTTGCTCACCCCTGGCTGGAGATCATCTTTAGTTCTAATGGTGATCTGCAGTTTTCTGCCTCTCTCCATAGCCAGTTCACAATATGACTGCTTGCTTCTTCCCAGTCAGCAGAAGGAGAATTTGCTAGCAATATTAGGTCCTATGTGGCATAATCGGAGGAATGCCATCTCATCACCTTTGCCAACTAATCTAATCTAGGACTGACATCACATAATTTTTGTTGTATTCTAGTGGTGAGAACTAAGTCACAGATCCCGCCACATTCAAGGAGAGGGGATTACACAGTGGAATGGATACTAAAAGTTGGAGGTTATAAGTGGTCACCTTCAGGTCTGATTCCCCTATTACTCTACTTATTTATTTTTCATTTTATTACTATATATTTGCAGTACATAATGATTACATTCATTGTGTGGGGTTGGTACATGTACAAACATGTCTTAATTCTTTTTAATTCCTCTTCTCACTCCATTTCCTATCCCTCCCTCCAGTTTTTCACATTCCAGGTATCTGCAGGTATTCCAGGTATTATGTGTGTGGCGGGGGGGAGCTGGATCATTGTCCAGGTTAACTGAAAAAAATTCCTGGTTCATTGGCAATTTTCTTTATGCCCCAAATTTTGTGCATCAGGTGTACGTTAATAATGATTTCTCCCTATAGATAAAAAACCAGCAGTTACAATGATGTCAAATCAAAATAGAGATTTGTTTGCTCAATTTCTTACAGAAAACATGCCATTTTTAAGGTGATTTCTCATTCTGCCCGTGTACTGGATTACGGGGAATGCTGTAAAAATTATGAGAAACTAGATGTCTTAAAACTATAAAAATTTATTCTTCCACAGTTCTGGATGGTAAAAGTCTGAAATAAAGCTGTTAGCTGGGTCATGAACCTTCAAATCTTCTAGAGAATATGCTTTTTGGTCTCTTCCAGGCAATTCTTGGCATTCTTTGGCTTATAGTGTTATCACTCCACTCTCTGACTCTATCTTCACAGTCTTTTTTCCTCTGAGTGCATGTTTATGGTCAATATGGATGTCAATTGGGGATTCAGAACTCACTGCAATCTAGGATCACCTCATCTTAACTACTAATAGTACTAATTACTTACTAGTTACTGGATTATATTTCTAAATAAAATAACATTTTTAAATCCTTGGTAATTTAATTTTTGGAGAGGGATATTTTTCAATCCATTGCAAACTACCTCTTCTACATCTCATTTGTGGAAAACAGCTTGGGAGTTCTTCATTCTAGCCTATGCCTTCTGTTCATTTGTCTCAGAAAAGGAATTGTTAGGTTTGTCTCTCAGAGTTTGCCACCTATTTTGAAAATGTGCTCTATGGGCTTTGAGATTTTCAGCAACAGATAAATCCTCTGAATTTGACTGCCTTTGTATTTATTTGGTAGGATACAAATGACTCCTGATTTCAGTGAAGATGTAGTTTACATTTATTTTTATTATCTTTGTCACTTCTAAGTGCTTACAAAGAGAAATGGGTAGAACCAAATTTACTATTTAAAAACTAATCTTCCAATTCTGGTTCTAGATAAGATGTAATGAACACACTGTAACTTTTCTCTTTCAGTAAATAAAACTAAGTCCTAGTTATAATGGATAGGCAGATGTTTAAGAACGATGGAGAGTAAATATCTGTGGGAAGATTGAGAATTTCCCCACTGAAGATTGAGAAAGAAGACCAGAATTCAAAGTATGGTGAATTCACTGTTTTTCCCCACTGTAGTATCTCCCAGCCTAAAGTCAGTACGGCCTAGAATTTAACTGGAGCTTTATGGTATAGACAGAGATATCTAGGCCAGCACTCTGGTTCTAACTCAAGGGGTGCGAAATGGAATTTGTAATAAATGGAACTCAGTACTTTGATGGTGAAAACAAAACAAAACAAACAGTTGTTCACAGAAAGTAGAGTAGAAATTCTGGCTTGAACTTAAAGATGTCAAGTACCTTCTAAGAAAAGACCATCAACATTCTCAGAATTTAAATAAGGATTTTTTTTTTTTGTACCAGGGATTGAACTCAGGACTTTGAACTTGCCAGGCAGGTGCTATGCTGCTCAGCTATATCCCCAGCCCTTAATCCTTTAGGATATAAACCATAAAATCCCCAACTCAAATGAGAAAAAGCAAGTAATAACCATGATGAGATAAAATAGATATTGCAATTATTTGATAAAGACTTTGAAATAAAAGTTAAAATGGAAAGATTTGGCCAAGAAACAGAAAATATAGAAAAGAATAAAAAGGAAATTTTTGAACAGAAAAATACAATAAAAACATTAAAGGGCTGGGGATTTAGCTCAGTGGTGCTACTGCCTGCCTCACAAGCACAAGGTCCTGAGTTGGATCCCCAGTACCCCTCCCAAAAAAAATTAAAGAATGAACAAAAAACAAAACCTAAAAGTAGTCAATAGCAAATTAAAGATGACAGAGGAAAGAATCTTTGAACTGGAAGATAGATCAACAGATATGATCCAATCATGTGGGGAGGATCATGGTGGTCATGGCAGGGGGATTAACAGAAAAAACCAAGTGTGCCTCAGGAAGTATATGTAACAACATTGAAAGCTCTAGCATTTACGGCATACAAAGTCTGATAAAGTTGAATGAATGTGATGATGAAAAAATTATGTGAAGAAATAATGGCTGAAACATTCCAAGTTTGGTAAAAGATATAAACCTACAGATGCAAGAAGCTGAGCATATATCCTATAAAATAAGTCCAAAGAATTCCACACTCAGAAACATCATAGTCAAACTGCTGAAAATTAAATACAAAATAAAGACATAAAATGAGTTGGAGGAAAATAATATCCCCTAGTAAGACAAAGAATTAAATGACTATGGATTTATTTCTCAACAGAAACCACAAAGGCTACAAAGAAATGGTACAATATTTTTGCAGAAAAGAATTTTATATCCAGCAAAAACAGCTTTCATGAATGAAAAAGAAACAGACAATTTTTCAAATGAAGCAACTCAAAGGAAATTCATAGCTAGAAGACCTGCTGCAAAAAAAACTGCTAAAATATTTTCTTCATATAAAAGGTAAATGATACCAAGAAGAAAGCTTGAGATATCAGGAACGAAGGAAAAGCCAGAGAGATAAATATAATATCTGTGTAAATACAATTGGCTCCTTTTTTCTCTTAAATGTACTTGAAAGTTGAAAACATAAATATATCGATGGCTTTTTCAATGTATTTAGGTAAAATATGTAAGATGAATTTGTGATATCTGCAGACTCTGAGATTTATAGAGGGGGAAATTTTTTACATTCCAATTCAAGTGGTCCACTATTAATTCTAAATAGTGTGAAAAATTAAGCATGTATTATCCCTAGAGCAACTACTAAAATTACACAGAAATATATCAAAATCATAATAGATAAATTAAATAGAATATGAAAAAAATATTCAAATAATCTAAATGAAGACATAAAAAGGGAAATAATTGGAAAAAAGAGAAAGCAAATTAAAAAATGGTAGACCTATCTCAAAATATATTGATCACTTTAGTAACTGTAGGTGTTCTAAACACACCAATAAAACAAGCATTACCAGATTGCACTAAAACATAACTACATATTGTTTATAATAAATTTACTTGAAACATAATGTAAGTTGTTTAAAAATAAGTAGAAGTGAAATGAAAGCTGATGCAGTGGTATTAACATGGAGAAAATAAACTTCAATGGAAAAAATTACAGGGATTTAAAAAGGACTTGGATTATCTGTTAGTAAAATGGTCAATTCACCAGGAAAGCATAATAATTCAAATTGTGTGTTCATGGTACAGAATTTGAATTGACATGAAGGAAAACTGAAAGAACTGAGAAGAGAAAGAGAACAGTTTACCATTATAGTGACTTCAATATGTAGAATAACTGATGTTGTTATGTTTGCAAATACTACAAGAAAAATTTAATCAAACATTTGATTTATGTTTTGTTCTCTGAATATTTGAGAGATTTTATGGTTTTTTTGGAGGGGGCAAGGAGAAAGCTATTTAGTGTATGTCACTTTACATCTTTTCTTTTAAAAATATTTTGGAATTTCCTTTTAATGCAGTCATTGTCAAGCTGGCTATTTCTTCAGGAATTAGTTATGTAGCTTTTTCAAGATTTAGCCATTAGTCTTCATTCTTTATTTCTGACATTCTGGGGTGTCTTTAGGGGAAGGACTAAGGTCAAGGGATAGCAGAAAAGGCTCTGCAGTTTTAGAAAAATCTAGGTGGTAGTGTTTCAATCCTTCTTTGATAAAACAATAATAGCATTAGAGTCAGAGGAAGAATATTAACACCACAATAAAAAGCTATCACCACAATGACTTCACTTTTCTTTTTTTTCTATGCTTTATGGATTTTTTTTCCTTTTTAAGTTTTCTTACTGCAAAGAAGATCTGTGCATCTGTCACGTGCGCCACATTGAGTACAAAATACTCCTGCACGATAAGGCCTTCTAGTCAAAGCTCCTCTATAAAAAAACAGAAAATAGGAAAAGACTGAATTTGTATATTTTACTTAAAAATATAGTTACCAATTTTAACTAGTATTGTTTTTTTAATTAAGAAAATGTGCTCAAGGAAGTTACACAAAGATGTAATCTTCCCTTTTTTCCCCAAACCAGCAAATTGTCTCTTCCTTTTTTTTTTTTTTTTTTTTTTTTTTTTTTTGTTCTGTTTTTTTGAGACAGGGTCTCACTATGTAGAGACTGACCTGGAACTCACTATGTAGTATGGTTTGTTTGTTTGTGTGTTTGTTTTTTTGGTACCGGGGATTGAACTTGGGTCCTTGTGTTTGCAAGGCAGGCCACCGAACCGCTGAGCTAAATCCCCGGCCCTTGGAACTCACTATATAGCCCAGGCTGGTCTTGAACTCACAGCAATCCTCCTGCCTCAGCCTCCTGAGTGCTGGGATTACAGGAGTGCGCCATCATGCCCAGCAATCTCTTCTGAAACCAACACTTATGTCACTGGAATAGAGTACTGTGATTTAAATATAAAGTAAACTCTAAAGTTTCTTTCATATTTTATAGCAAAATGTCGTGTAAAATTGATGATAGAGGGTTTATAATTAATTGCTTTCCAGTTAACACAAATGTAAAAAATGTTCTGTAAAAGTGATATATTAATTATTTAAGAATTTACAAAATCCTGAAATGCCTATTATCTTAATGGGTTAATCCTGGACCACTTTGGAATCTACATGAAAAAAATGCATAGATATGTACTCAAATGAATATAGATAGGATTTCATGAAGTTGATTCAATCCATAGACAGAGCTGAAGAGAAAAGTGAGAAATTATTGCATCAATTGCCTAGAGCAAACTAAGGAAAACAGGTCCCAAAGTAGATACAAATTGGGAAGTTTATATTAAAACTAGCACAGGATAGAGAAAATATGTAGGGAGAAGTTACTTGTGAGGGGGAGGAGTTATTCTGGTCATTCAAAGAGTATTGCTTATTTAACAATAAGGCAAGTGGAAGTTATAAAAATAAAAATTAAGTATATTCATTTCTAGTTAGCCATTATGTCTCAAAGAATGGTCAAATCTAAAAATTAAATATTCAAAAGTCTGAATATCATTTTTTCTTAACTTTTACCTATAACTTAGTTTATTTCTCCCACTCTCTTTATCATAGAAATAGATGTCTCCAACACAAAAGCAAAGTTTATCCTAAGACCTCAGAGATGGACAATATCTGCCCTAAAGCCACTCACTACAAGGTTGACTCTGAGGCCTGGAACATAGGTAAATCATCTGTGCTATATCTGAATAACCATAGCTTGGGAAAACTCTTGAAAGACAAAGAAATAAACAAATAAATATACACTATGCTAAAATATAATGAGTCTTACTTTTTCAAAATTTTAATTTTATAATCATTATTTAAGTAGCTAGATGTGCCAGGCTAAGGTTCTTCTATGCCAATCTTCCTCTATTTCTGAATATCTAAGAAGTTGAACCTAAATGAACTTGTTGGATTCCACAATACAACTCCTAATTGCAACTTGAATTATTAGGAGAGATCAGGAAATAAATTACATTAGATGAAAGAGCTAATTTTCTTGATATATAAAGCATTTATATTAATTAAAAATATCCAATACCTTAGAGTAAAATAGTGACTGCATAGAAACAGGCCTCAGAAAATGAGATTTAAATTTTCTGAACTGCACAAAAAGATACCTGCAGGTCTCCAGCTGGCTTTGGCCAACTCCACTCTTCCTCTTCCCACTTGTAGTTCTACAGTAATTGTGGAATATGCTGAAAAGGCAGTGTCTTGATAAACAAGAACTGCTGAAAATAGCCCAGATTACATCTTTATCCTACTTAGAATAGGATGTTTTCTAATCCTCCAGTTCAGTGAGTCCACAAGTACTGATGGCATAAAACCAGGGAAGAGTGCTTTTCGGGTTTCTCGGCTGAGGTGTGACAGGAAGCTTTTGCAGCTGAGACTCCATCCTCCACAAGCAGCTTTCCTGAGATTGGGAAACCAACTCACTACACACTAACGGCTCCAGCTTCTGTTGCTCTTGCAGCCTATTGGTATCTTTGCTTAACTTGTATGACAGACAGTTCTGCCTCATTAGACTCATGTAAGTGGTACAGATCCTTTGTAGAGATGAAAGTGACAATGAAAAGTAGAGTGAACTGGTACTAGTAAACAACAGAGAGTTTGAGAATAGAAGCAAGCAATGTGGGAAACAGGCTCTGTCCTTTATACTGTAAAATAAATTTTATAATAGAAAAATGGTACAACCACGATTAATAGATATTTAGTAATACCTATCAAAATTCAAAATGCACATGTTCTTTGACCTAGTAATTCCATGACTATGAATTAAATATTATGGATATTTATTCATATGAGAATTACCTATCTATTGGGGGTAATTGCAGAAGCATTGTTTACAATAAAATAATAAAACAACTGAATGTCCATCAAAAGAACACTGTTTAAATAAATATTTGCAACTATTTCACACTGTGAAACCATTAAAAATAATTTGGAAACTCTTTGTGTATCCAAATGGAAAAACTTCTAGAATGTGTCTTAAATTTAAAAAAGAGCTCTCACAGGAGGTATAGTTTATCCCAGCTTGAATTAGAGAAATACACACAAAGATTGAATATACATATAAAATATACCTTTTAGGCTAAAATACTGGAGAGGATAACTGAAGACTGGGATAGGAAGGTTACTTCCTCCTTGGTACTGCTGAACTTTCTATCATGAATTTGTATCAATGTAAAGTAGCACAACCACCATGGAAATCAGTATGGAAATTCCTCACACACACTGAAAAACCCACTACAGATATAAATTCCACTTGACCCAGCTATCCTCCTTCTAGGTATCTTCCAAAAAGAGGTTAAAACATCATACTACAGTGATACAAGCATACCCATATTCATGCTAGGACAATTCTTAATAGTTAAATTGTGGAAATAGCCTGTATGTCTATTAACAGATGAATGGATAAAGCAAATGTGTTACGTACATACAATGAAATACTACTCTGCCATAAAGACAAACTTGAGGCATTGCTGGGTAAATAGAGGCAATACACAGCTTAAATATCACATAATTTCTCTTCTATGAGAAACCTGAAGTATAAATAAAGAGCAAAATAAAAGACAGATAATAGGAAGTAGGCAAATAGGTATTTTTTTTAAATGGTAAGTGATCAAGAAATGGAAGGAGAGGTGGGAGGGGAAGGGGGTAAAAAAGGAATTAAGATGTGTTATGTGCACTCACCAACTTCTCACAAGGAATGCAAACATTATGTACTGCAAACGTGTACTTAAAAAGGTATTATATATAGTTTTATTAAAATGATCCAAAATTACAATCCATTTTACACAATGAGAAAGAGGCCACCTTCTACAAGTTCCTAATGTCCACAAAAAATTGTAATTGGAGGGAAATATGTATTTTACATATATTCATATTCAGGAAGATTAAGGAATGTTGCCTATCTTTTTTTCCATTAAGTGTATTGGCACAATTTAGGTATATAATACAGTTACACTAATCATTGGGATCTTGTACCTTTACATAACGTATCTTATTTTTTCCCGATTTCCTGTTCTCTCTTTACCCGCTCCACCCTATTTAGACTTTGTTTTTTCTTTTCTCATATTTTTTGTTCCCTTCTTACCTTTCCCCTATTCCTGTAGAACTTTCCTAGTAACGTATCTTATTTTTTCCCGATTTCCTGTAATCTCTTTACCTGCTCCACCCTATTTAGACTTTTTTCTTTTCTCATATTTTTTGTTCCCTTCTTACCTTTCCCCTATTCCTGTAGAACTTTCCTTCCTATTACACAATATCAATTACATATTTTTATCCTTATTTATACTTTTATATTTTCACACCAGAGAAACTATTTGGTATTTACATATGTGTCCTATTAATTTCACTTAAAAGTATGGCCTCAATGTGTATCCTTTTTTGGAGAATGACCCATGTGCAGCCAAAAAGAATGTATATTCTGTCTTATGGGGTGGAACACTCTGTGGACGTCTATTAGGTCCTGTTCAAAAGCTTGGTTCAGTTGTTTCGTTGCTGACTTTTTGTCTAGATGATCTATTTGTGACAGTGAGGTATTGAGGTCCCCCACTACAATGTATTAGTACTTATTTGGTTTTTGTTGTATATCTTAATAACACAAATACTAACACACAACAGCCTTTATGCTGCCTAATAAAACAGTTGTAAAAGTTAATAGGTCAAAATAATGAAATGGAAAACTAACAAAAGAATGAAAAAAGATAAAAAAACTCCAAAGTCTATCACTTTGAGAGATTGATAAAATAGTGTAAATCTTCACAAGCCCCATTAAACAAGAAGAAATGAAAAATACTATTAAGAATTCTTTATATTTTCACTTCATGTAATTCTCTTCTGCCTCTTTCCAGCCAGAGCTTGCTGTTTCATTTCTCTCTCCATCCCTCATATGTTCTTGTAACATTCTAGCACTCTCAATTTATGCATGGTGTTCTTTAGCAAATTAGCAAAAAAACTGTAAAAACAAATAAGCTTTTACTCAATTCTATGTGTACCCTTTTTCCTTCTCTTCTTTGCCAAACATTTAATGTTTTAAAATTGTTTTCACACTTGAAGTCATGGCTCAAATCTAGTTCTTCACAAAACATTTTAAAATATGAACTAGATTAGAATATTATACTAAACTTTTGAATAGAGTATTACTTCATGCAATTGTTTTTATTTTTCATGTATTATAAGAACACACAGCTTTGTGAACTTTTTCAGATTTACAGTGTCTGATAATTTTGCATCTTTGAAATCTGAATACATACCGGAATCTATGGTGTCTCATTCAGACTGTGACTCATTTCCAACTGAGGACATTTATACCTGCAGTTTTCTCTTCTTGGAGACCTATCCTACATTTCACGATTCTCTCCTTTCCATTATTCATTTACACTTCCCACGTTTATTTCT